ATGTTAATTGATTTGTATGATAAGATTAAAATGAAAAGTGAACTTAAATGATTAATTATTTTTTTAAAAATATAGCTAATAGACTTAAAAAGAAACTTCACACTTAGACGGAGCCCCTTTCTTCTCGCCCGAACCAAAACCCTAGCGGCTCTCCTTCTCAATTCGCGCCGATAACTCTCCCTCGCCGGTCGTCTGGGTCTAGAGGTGGACGGCCTCCGTCGCTCGTCCATGGAGGTGCTGCGTTCTCCCAACTTTGCTGCTTCTCTTCCAGCTTCGCGCTTCGATCAGCGGGTTATTTCCTTGTTGGTCGCTAGAGTTCAGGATGGGACGACAGAGGTCGGGCTGTGGTGCTGGTCCATGGACGAGGAAATTTTGGCTGCTCTCGATTTCGACCGGGCCGCTGGGACGCTTTTCCCCTCTTTTCGCCCTTCTCGTTGTCGGTCGGGACGGTGCCTTTTACAGGCGAAGCGGCGAGCGGCGTGGGCTTCCTCCTATTTTGGCTCTAGGCCGGGTCAATTGAAGGAATGGCCTCGTTTTGCTGCTTTGTCTCGGTTTCTCTATTGCGTCAGTGACCGGAGGGCTTCTTGGCGAGTTGGCGTTGGGGGTTCACGGTGGGTGGTTCTAGTCTCTGCTGGGGTTGGTTTACTGTTTCCGGCTAGTGCTCGGCTACCTGGTCGTGTTCAAGGCGTTTCGGGCTGGGTTGAGGCGTTGTTGCTGCCTTTCGTGATTGGAGTGCGGGCCAGCTCTTCGGTTGGTCCTAAGGTGCGGGTTCCGTCTTGCTAGGCCTTCTGCAGTGGCAGGCAGTTATTTCAGTGCTTTGGAGTTGTCTGTGGAGTTGGTTGTCTACCATTTATCTAGATGTATTGGGCGGGGGAGGCTGTGTTTTCTTACTTTTTTGTTTTTAGTATTTGGTCTGTTTTTCAGTTATCAGTGTTGTTCTCTGGTTTTTGGTCTGGGCGTTTGGCCTCTGTGAGCTCGAGTGTCACCTTATTATCCCAATGGGATCCGACACTCGGGTATTACCCTGTTGGGATCTTTTAGTTTGTTTTAGTTTAGTTTGTGTGTTGTAGTTTGTAGTTGGTTAGTCTGTTGCGAGTATTTTATTCTAGCGTTGCTAGCGGGACTCTAAGCGGTCTTCTGACCTGTCCTCCCACTTGTTCAGCTGTTGGTTGTTGTGTATTCAGCCGTTGGCTGCTGTGTATTCGCACATTTGTGCATTTTGATTTATAATATCTCCTATCGTTTCGAAAAAAAAATGTAGCTAATCGTATTTAATGAATATATATATATATGTTTAGATCAACGAGTTAAAAGTATCTTTGTTAAACGAATTTGATCAACGAGTTAAAAGTATATTATGAACCAATCATAATGATGTTTGGTTAAGATATATTTAGATATTTGTCATGGAAAGACTCAAGTAGAACAAAAGTGCAAAGCAATATAAGAATGTGACGGAATAACTATGGCTCAGGTCGGCCGATATTATTATTGCTTGGTTGGGTATTAGGTTTGGTTAAATTTCGAGAGTCTTTATCTCGCGAGCTATCTATATTTTTCTCTCCCTTTTTAGATTTAATACATAGGTATTTATAGTAACTGTTGCTCGGGAACTACTCACAGTCCGCATTTAATCGATGGGACGGACATTCAATGCATCGCGCTTCTCTATGAGTCTAAGAGTGATTGGTCGACAGGTTAGTCGGCAAAGAAGTGATTTCCATTATTAGGCTACAATTTGCCTTTATTTTATTGCCTTCCGCTCGGGCTGTCAGTCCAGCTCGAGTTAATGTCCTTTGTCTTAGATTTAGCCTCGTTGTCTATAGTGGCTAGGTTCTTTTCTGTTTGATGGTCGGTCTGTGAACCCATCTCAACTTACCGAATGTGAATTATCTTGTTTTCTTGCTTGTGGCCCCGCTTTTCAACTCGGAGGTCAACATACTTCATGTCAAAAAATTAAATTATGAATTTCTTTGTTGGGATTTCATTCGTGATACTTTGGAACTAGTAGATTTTCCTGGCGTTTTTATTAATGGTGTGATGGCATGTGTCACGTCGGCAACTATGCAGCTACAATGGAATGGTGTCGTCACTGAGGAACTTTTGCCCTCCCGAGGAATTAGGCAAGGCGACCCAATATCCCCATATCTCTTTGTCCTGTGTATCGAGCGTTTAGCTCATTTGATCGATGCTTCTGTGGCATGTGGCGAGTGGAAACCGATCTCGGTTGGTCGTAGCCAGGTCTCGATTCCATACTTGATGTTCGCCGATGATTTGCTCCTATTTATAGAAGCGGACCTTAGCTAGGCGTCCCTCTTAAAGGCCATCCTGCAACGTTTTTGTATGGTCTCGGGCCTAAAAGTGAGCGAGCCTAAGACCCAAGTGTTCTTTTCTTCTAATATTTAAGGGGTTGTTCGGGATTCGCTGGCTCTAAGGCTAGGGTTTCAGGTCGTCGACAATCTTGGTAAGTACTTGGGCATGCCGATTATACATAGTCGGGTGAATAAGTCCACTTATGCAGCGATATTAGAGAAAACAGAAAAGCGACTCGCCGGCTGGAAGGCGACGGCTCTTTCAATGGACAGAAGGGTCACTTTGGCCCAGGCGGTGATTAGCTCTTTGCCGTACTTTTCCATGCAAACGGCTTTCTTACCGTATAGAGTTTGCGATAGCTTGGAGCGAAAGTGTCGTAATTTTATTTGGGGAGGGACGGACTCTGCTCGTAAGGTCAGCCTTGTTTTATGGTGGGAAGTTTGTCGGCCAAAGGAGGATGGCTTGGGAACGAAGGATCAACGGCTCATGACTCGAGCTTTGCTCATGAAGTTAGTCTGGTCCTTTTTGATACAACTGCAGTTGTTATGGTGTCGGGTGCTTCGGGCTAAATATGCGCTCAATCCGGAGGAGATGGGCGACACTTATAAATTTTCTAAAGGCTCGACTGTCATCGGGTCGCTCTGTTGTGCATGGAAAGACACTTTGGCCGGATGTCGCTGGACGTTGGGTAATGGGAGGCGGATCTGCTTCTGGTGGGACAAATGGTTCAATTCGACACTCCATTGATTTGCTCTGCGACGGCTCCGGTTCCAGAGGCTATTCATTTTGCTCCGGTGGCAGATTATGTTACGCCGGAGGGGGAGTGGTGTTGGCCTTTATTCCAACACTTGTTGCCTGTCACATGTTTGATGAGGATGGCTGCCATTCCGCCGCCGCGAGAGGATGGTGGGGAAGACGAGAGATTCTGGGGGCTTGCGGCGGATGGCCGCTTCTCTACAAGGTCGGCTTATAAGGCTTTCTTATAACCTGCTGGTGCGCGAACAGACCGCTTGTGGAAGACGATCTGGAGTTGGGTGGGCCAACAGGTGCGAGCTTTCCTGTGGCTCACAACCCGAGATAGCCTTTTAACGAACGTCTCCCGACATAGGCGGCAAATGGCAGCGAGACCGACATGCGCGCTTTGCTCGGCGGCTGCTGAATCTACGTTGCACGCGTTAAAGGACTGCACGGAGGCGTCCCTTACGTGGAAAAAGTTGCTGCTTCGCCGCTACTGGACTACTTTTTTCGCTTTGGACATCTGACATTGGCTATTGGACAATCTTGCTGGCGACTTAAGTCGGGCCCGAGAAGATTGGTGCTTGTTATTTGGCCTTATGGCGTGGAGACTTTGGCGTTGGAGGAATCTAAAGCTTTTCCAAGATTCGGACGTCCCCATGGATCGCCGGATTGGTGAGGTTTTTTCCTATATGGAGATGACGCGTTGTGCCTCGGCTAGGAGCCTGAGCTTAAGGGTGCGCGGTATTCGGGAACGGCGGTTGATTTCGTGGTCGGGACCGGCGGTCGGAGAGTTCAAAATCAATTCTGATGAGAGTTTTGATCAGTCGACGGGCATGGCTAGTGCGGGTAGAGTTATTCGCGATTATGGTGGGAATTGGGTACATGGGTTTGTGATGAACACTGGTTTTTGTTCGATTGTTGGCGCGGAGCTTTGGGGCTTATTCCAAGGCCTGCTTCTTGTTTGGGATATTGGCGCTCGTCGAATTACCGTTGAGGTTGATAATAAGAGCGTCGTTGAGATGATCACCCACGAGCGTTATGGCGGACCGCATGGTGGTTTGGTGAAGGGTATTCTGGAGCTTCTACATCGTGAGTGGGAGGTGCACATAGTCCATGGTTATCGGGAAACTAGTTTTGTGGCAGATTATTTAGCCTCCTTGGCGGCAAAGTGTTCGGGCGGTTTGCAAAGATTGGAGAAGCCCCCGCCGGGGGTGAGCATGTAGTTGCAGCATGATAGGATGAGCGTTGCCATTCCTAGGAACGTTTTGAGTTAGACACCCTAGGCTCGCTCTCTCTTTCTTGTACCAAAAAAAAATAAAAAATAAAATAAATTATGGGTTCACATAGTAAATATTCATGATGAGGTACATTATTGATTAAGACTTTCCGTCTTTGATGTGTAGTTTTACATATAAATATTTATTTTTATTACTTTTGTTATACTAATAAAACTTATAATTTTAATTAATTTTTCAGACAATTGATCCAATGACCGATGCTTCTCACCGGGAGCAGGTTTGCAAAAACAGTACAACGATCAAAGATCCAAAACGCAGTACATTAATTTTCCTCGGGGGTGTCTATATGTACACCCCCTTGTGTGTAAAAAAGGGGTGTACATATAGTTTTGCCCTTTGTGTAATTTATTAAAAAGGGGTGTACATATAGCATTGCCCATTTTCCTCAACTGCAAACTGGAGATGAAGTACAACTTTTTTCTGCACAAGATTAATGATACGTATCTGCACTCCACGGCACGGCCCCATAGAATCAAACAAAAAACAGAGTCCACACACACACACACACACACATGTGAATACTAAATAAGTTACTGTGAACAAGTCAGACGAGGACACAAACCAAGCAGTAATGACTAATCAACTTCATACAATTTTACAAACCAAACTAAAAAGAACCAAAATAAATTAAAAAATAAAAAGAAAAATAAATCAGCGACCGGCTGTGTAAGAGGTTGACCTCTTCAAGCTCGGAATTTCCTCTTTCCTCGTGTGCTCCACCACCAAGCCCCCGCTGAAAAACTCCTTATCCTCAAGCTTCGGCCTCCCACGTGGGACCCGCATCTTGTACTGCGATATCAGCCCCATTCCTGAACCCTGCCCGGCCCCACACGAGGTCGACCCGCACGAGATCAGCTGCATCAGAACCGACTTAGCCGCCTTTTGGGTGTTGCTGCTGGCCGTCGACTGATCCTCCCTGGCGGCGGTTGCGGCCGCCGCCGCTGCCGGCCGCTTGGCGGCTTCCGATTTCATCAGCGTCTCAAGTGTCTCGGGGCTCGACGAGTCGGACGGCGGTGGGGAGACCGACACCTCGATCTCGTCGACCGGCGGGTGGCGCCGCCTCCGTCGGCCGTCGTCCGTCTGGGTGGACACGTCGGCGGTGGGTTGGGCCTTGGGGACGCCGTACTCTTGGATGTTGGTTAGGTCGATGGAGCTGCACGACTGGTTGCGGCGTCGTCTGTCCGCCGCCGGAGGCTGCAGCGGCGGCGGCATATGCTCGTTTGTTTCTGGGAATTCGCCGGCCGGGAGCTCCGAGCCTTTGAGGACGTACTCGTTGCCGTGAGCCGGAAAGATGACGTCGTCCTCCTGCAAATCGTGCCACACGAATCCGTTCCTGTAGCTCCTGCTCCCCCAAAATTAAATTTAAAAAAATCCCCAAAATAATGAAATGAAAAATAAAAAAAAAGAAAAATTAATAAACAGAGAGCAAAATCGAAAGGTTCACCGTTTGCAAGACCAGGAATACATGGCCGCCATTCCTTTGCCGCGAAGAACATTCAGGCGGCTGAAGACGTCTGTACACAGAGAACCGATATTAAAAATCAAATTTGAACAAAAAGGAAAACAAAAAATCGATTATGAAGAAGATGAACGTACATTGCAATCTCACAATCTCCAAAAATCCCAATTTTTTTTACCCCTTAAAAAGGATAACTATATACAAACCTCTGAGAAGCAGACCGTGCGGGGAGGAAAGAGGAACCTCCATGAAATGGGGATGCTCGAGCTGCCCGTTTCTAGAGAGATAGTACACCACGGGCACCCTGCGACCCGGCAATTTGAACTCGGGGTCAGTCGGGTCGGCCCGCGGTTTGATCGGGTCGGGCCTACTTTCCGTCTCCTGATCTCTCAACTGCCTCGTCGACCGGAGCTCCGTCGTCCTCCCTGACCTCGAACCTGAGACCTCCATGGTTGTTCAATTCTGTTTTCTCACACTGAGTCAACACAAGTCAAACTTTTGCAATTTTTTGACCTTTTTGGAGAGAATTTATAAATAGTGTTGGGGGAAGGCTGGTGTGAGTTTACACGTGTGTTGGGTGTGAAAAGAAAAGGCGGTGTGGAATTAGAAAATTTCAAAAATGGATGCGATAGACAAACCGCTAACAAACAAATCAAATACCAAATGGTACAAATTTGTTGCTGACTTTTTTAGGTTTTTGATTTCAGTACACTTTGGCTTTTTCTATTGAACTCTTTGATTGTTAATTTTTATGTTACATCAAGGGTTCTTGAATGAAATATTGTTCACGAGCTTGGTTCAGCTCGTTTATCGAACGAGTCGAGCAGAAAATATAATTTTACTGTACATTTATACAACTTGATTCATTAAGCTTGAGTTCTATTGATTAATATCGATCAAAGTTGAATTCGAACTCATTT